ACGTTCTATCCAAAAATACCAACAAAAAATATATTTAATTATTTACAAAGATTATCTTTAAAAAAACCCTTATAATATTAATATTACAATTTTATCATTAAACTAATATTAAAATTTGTTATTAAATAAAAAAAAACCCTGGCCATTACCCTAGTTGCCTATGCTCTTCCTCTAAATACCAAACCTCGCTGATGTTAATCGATTCCTGGAGAAGCAAAAGAATCATGACTAGATGAAATTGAATCAACACACAAACTCACGTAACTATCCCTGGCTTCAAATTTGCGACTTCGGGTCCAATCAAACAACAACGTTGAGTTAAGGATGAGATTAAGGATTATCTCCTGCAATGATGGCGGGAAACCAACCATATTTAGGATGAAAAGGGGAACGGTCCGTAATTGCTGACACAACTTATAGTTTCCGAGATTACTTGAGAATATCTTAAACATTCTATTTAATACTTCTGCCTACAGTACTGTACTGTCTGTCTATAGCAAAATGTCTTGCAACATCTGGATTGCTTCAAGGTCTTTAACTTTACTGTTGTCTTTCTCCCAATTTTCATCAGCAACTCAATCTAAAGATGACCTGCGACTTCTGCTGTGGCGAGTGTAAGAAGATCTGGAACTTTTGCCTCTAGACCATGATGTAGATTCAGCAGGACCAGATTGAGATAGATTAACAAGAACATCAAGCTACCTAGACAATGCGTGTGATAATTGAGCTCGTGAGGGTTTTGTTTTTTAATGTTAAATCATGTCTGTGTTCATCATTCATTGCATGAGAACCATCTGCTGTACCATCAAAGGCAGGACAAAACCAATGCAAACTGCACGAGGAACTGATAGCCATGGCATTGTGTATATCTTCCCTGAGCCTGACATCATCAGCTCCTACGATTCAAAATTGTACAGAAAAAAAAGTAGCAGTGACATACTTCTGACAAGTTTAAAGCTCAAAATGATTTGAATTCCAGATCATTATGGAAACATAACTTAAATATCTTTTACGTCTCATTTTAACAGTCAGGACCACGTAATTTTGATCCATTGATCTTATGCAATTCAAGAAGTAAAACTGATGGCCAAATTACCTTGTCTATATGACAATTCCACGCATTCAAGCGACAAGCCCACGATGCTCATGGTGTAGGCAGAATCAACACGTGAACTGAGAAAGCCTCGTCTACCTCTCCTCGGGTTAGCATCAAGGCAAGATTGATGCTTATAGCCTTCGTGCCAAGCAAAGACGTCCAAAAACATCAACAGCTTCTTCTTCTATAAGATCTGCTGTGGATGAAAGAGCCGCTCCTAGTCCGACAACTAGAGCCAGAACCAAGGATGGCACGAATCGCTCGAAAGCAAAGATTGGCCAGGAGCGGACTAATGCCTCCTTTTCTCATTATGGCATGAAAACGCTTCGATGCCTGATTTCACAAGCATTTCTCACAATGAATGATTTTTTTTTAGAAAGAAATCAAGTTCTAGAGAGGGGAGAGGAAAATTTAAAAAATAAAAATAAAAAGAAAGGAGTCATTACCCTCTTCTTCTTGCCAAGAATTGACGCGTTGATTAAATCGGAAGCCATGGTTACCACTGCAAAATTTGTGGATTTGACAAACCCCTAATCTGTTTTAATAGGGAGGGATGGGAATTTGTTTTCTGAAGAGAGAGAAAGGAAGCCAATTCGTGGATTTGGAAAAACACTAAAGCATTCCGAAATTTTACATTCCAGGCCAAATGAGGCAAGTAAACTTGGCGTAGAAATTAAAGGGATGGCCCCAGAATGGCGGCAAGCAACTTTTGCTCTTATCAGGAAATAACAATTAAAGCATTCAGGCCTGTTCATGGATAGATAATAAGTCGAATTAACCTAACCCTTGCTGATGCCGTAATGCGAGTAAAATTTGGATAGGAGGAGTTCGATGGAATTGTAGAAAAGGGAACATATAATTTAACAGAGGACAAAGGCAGATAGAGATTAAAGAGAGGGTTTTTTTTTGGTTCTCGAATCAGAAAGAAAATTTAATCATCATTTCTCATACCGTTTTCAAGGAGGAACGATTATATTCAAAGGCTGACCATACTGCTTAAGCCATCTAAATTGCCAATGGAACTCTTGGCCCAATGAAGCAGCTGTAAAGTATCTGTGCCTTGGACGCTAGGCCCAATGTCAATATGACGCACGAGGAGTGATACTTTCACCTGTATTAATCCCAGTTCCTATCATGATCCGGCAGTATGGTCAATATATTTACAGGTCAACAACTTGATGATTTATGCTAGACCAACCACATTCCCACAATATAAAGAGATCAAAGCAATTGTTGATAAAAATCTCTTGGCGTAATCAGAATCTTATGATACATCATTAACTTCTTACACAACACTCACCACCATGGGCTTTTTCTACGGCAAGATTGACACCCGCTTTTATTACATTGAATTCATCCTGATAGGCAGATCATAAAGGCTTACAGGCTAACAAGTTTCAGAGAATTTGCCTTCTCTTGCAGGGTATCAAGCAGACTATCAAAGCTCTTCTTGAAAGAATCCACTCCTTCAACTTCAAGCTGATTGCCCACGTAGCCCCAATCAATTCCCAACTTCTCAAGTGCGTTGTAGATTCCTTCGGCTTCAGAGACATTTGAGTCGATTGTCCTTG